GCCAGGTGGACCTGAATTCTAATCCATGCCCCCATTTATAATCTGTGTGATACCGGGTCATTTGATTTATACCATTAAGCCCTGGTTTCCTCATTTGCAGAATGGCATTAAAATCATCATATCTCATAGGATCCTTGTGAGAATTAAGTGAAAAACATGAGTGAAAGAAAATACCTAGCTAAGCGCCTGGTATGCAATGATCCTTCAACCAAGGCTCTTTCCTTCCTATCTTATATTAGTTCTATGCCTGGATAGATCGATTCTGTTCTAAAAATATGTTCTTAAAGAAACTGACACAATCAGGCACACCAGGAGACATTTGGGAACCACTCCATCTTTAGTAAGAAGGAGAGCATCATACTTGATTGGGTCACCTCTTCAGTTCTCACCTACTGATGGGAGAGAAGAGAAACCAGAAGATATTAAGAAAATGATCAAAGGAACCAAGGAGATTGTCACCAGCTTGAGGGAATGGCAAAGACAAAGCCCTGAGTGACCGTGAGCAGGTCATTTAACCTTTCTGGACATTAACTGTCTCACTGTCAGTCTGAAGGATCCCTTCCACCAGGAAGATGCTGTAGTTTAAGCTACTCCAAATTTTACATTGGGTTTAAATGCCTGGCAACATAGAATTCTCTTAAGCAAAACTTTTTTTCCCCTTTCCTGTCCAGAGAAAAGGAAAGAAGACAGGTAGGCTATTTTAGGTGGGACTCAGGACCACAGAGGAAGGTCAAGGCAAAGTGAAATAAAGGTCCAGAAGGGACCAAGGTATCCTTTTTAAGATTGGATATTCCCTGTTGAAGGTCAGAACCCACGTGACCAGATGCTCAGTTCTGGGTCCTGTCCTCACACCACCCAATTGTGTCAGCCTCCCAGAGAGGAGCAATCACGTGCGATTCATTTGCTCCTGCACCCTAATTCTATTAGATACTCATTAATGCTATTATATATTTATGCATATTTTCTATGCTTACATATATATTATGTTGAAATGTATTTTGTGTGTGTGTAAAAATGTATATGTTTTATAAGTGTGAGGCAATCTTCCAGGTGCTGCAGACACAAAAATAAAGAAGAACGTTCTCACGGACTTACATTCTAGTGGAGAAAACAAAAATAAACAAATTCTCAAATAAGAAAAATATCAAATACGTCCTCTACAGAAATTAAAATAGGCTGGTGTGCGAGGGAGAGGATGTCTATTTCGGGGTGGATGATTAGGGCACGACAGAATCTCTGGGGGAAAATTAGCCTCCTGGAAGCTTTTCAGTGTCCAAGTGCCTCAGTGGCATTGAGCTGGGTTGGTTCTACTTCTGGAACATTCTGGGTTCAGGTGCAACTGAAGAACTGTCCACTCCAGCTAAGTGAGAGTGCTCCCCCATCAATCTCTCCCTAATGCCTGGCTCAGAAAACAGGAGGAAGTTAGAACCTTGGAAAGAGAAACGCAGGACCTTCTAACACCTCACGTCCAAGGTGGGAGCCCAGCCTAGCAATGGCTGCCTAACATCCTCCAGCAGGGGGCGTGCGTCTCCCACAGCTCTGCGGGATGGCACAGAAGGTGCCCGGCTCCCGATCCTCCTCTTTCAGTGTGTCATTGTGGAAAAATCCCAGCTTTGTCCAAAATGAACGTGTTTACCTTGCCGGGCATTACATTGTCTGCCTGTTGTTAATCTCTAAAATAAAGGGCTCTTTCTCCACCCTGTATTTTACTCTCAGCCTCTCAATTCCCAAGTCCCTGTGGCTTGTCATTGTCTCGGCTCTTCCCTTTTTACCTCCTGAGCGTGTGCAGCGACATTAAGGAGCTCTTCAGAGTGATGTTTCAATTGAAGCTGATGAGGAGGAAATGACAGGTCACCGTGAGGGAAGGAGAGATGCAATTTTTTGAATAAGTCATTCCGCCTTGGGTTTTCTCAACTCCCCCAGAGGCTGACTGAACAGAAGCTGCTTCCGAGCCCACAGCAAGACAATTTGTCTCTGCTCTGCTTCTCCACAGGTGCAGCCACTGACCTAGCCACATCTATGGCATGGAACACAGTCTGAATCAGAGACTCATCCATGACTATTGGAGGGCCAGGGGCCCCCAAAGACATACCTGGTCACGGTCCTCCCCTGACTAGAGGAGGAAGGAAAAGGGAGGGGCCCTCTGTTACTCTCGTCGCCCTAACTTGTGACTCCTGACTCATGCTCCTCTGCCTGACACTGGGTCTTCCGGGGCCTCAGCTCTGCCTTTCTCTCGGTGTCCCCACTGCCTGGCCCAGGATGAGTGCTCCTCCCCGTCCCCTGCCCTGGTCAGGGCCACCACCCTTTCTCTTTTGATCACTGTAGTCATTTTCTAACCAGTCTCCTTCTCTGAAGTCTCTTCTCAACACAGTGGCCAGATGGATGCGTTTAGAACATAGCTGGGCCGACAATTTCTGGACCCCAAAGCCTGCATTGACCTGACGACAACAGAAATGATGAGACAGGGAAATGTTGAACACAGAATGAATGCATAATTAAACTTTTTCATAGATTTGGGTGGGATGATGGCCTTATGGTTTTGTTTAAGATTCCTTATCTTTTAGAGATAACAGCCCTAGTAGACACTGAAGAAATACTTGCTGAATGGATGAATTTGTGGAAGGAAAGAAAGGGGAGAAGAGATGGGGCAGGGATGGGAGCAGGCCTGCCCTTCATTTGTGCACTGTTGTGAGGTCTGGTACCCACTTGGAGCTCACAAGTTCAATAAATACCACTCCTTCCCCTCCCCTCCACCTGGTTGCTTCTCTGGGTCCCCTTGTTTTACTCCTCACATCTCCAGTCTTGGCACATTTGTCCAATTCCCAAGGCCCATGGCCAGTGTTAAGGTGGGACCAGGCCCAGCCCTGACTGCACGGGTGGCTGGCATTAATCTTAGGGGTAAAAGGTGTTTCTGGGGATGACAACAGCCATCCCTGGGGGACACACAAACACTTCTCGGGGTGCCAAGAACTCATGGCAGAGGAAGTGTGGGCCTTGAGAAGCAAGCTCCAAGCAAGAAATTTCCTGTCCTCCCATTAATAAGAGCCAATTAGATAAAGACGTAGACAAATAAAAAAAAAACTTCACAGTCATCTCTGTATGAAAAGTTCCACTCACCATCTAATACTAGATTAGGAAAAGTAATAGTTGCAGCAGTTCAATGCAAGATGAAATAAGGTCTACCTAAACATCAATTAGACAACGTACAAAGATTGCTGTTTTCTCTTAAGACTGTGCGTGACCATGTTGGGAGAATGAGAGCAGGACAGCAGCCACATCTTGCTGCTCACCAAGGGCCAAGCCTCATACTGGGCACTTTTTCTCACAATAACTCAGCCAGTGGTGATGCCTTTCCACTGTCACAAAGTAAACAGGCTTAAAGAGGCTAGGTGACTTGAAGAGTCACACAGCTGCTGAGAAGAGGAGTCGAGCTTCAAACTCAGGTCACCTTGCTGCAAAATCCAGGATCCTTGTGCTATACAGAGGAGAAGGCAACCTGGCTTGGACCCATCTGACTTACAGGGAAACTGAGGCCTGGGCTGGCGATGCCAAATGGGAGGCAACATATCCAAGGTCTCCTAGAGGGATAAGTGACTTCCCGCTGTCCCACATAGCCCTCCTTCATGACATCTTTCCATGTCTCAAAATAAGCCTTCAAAATAAGTTCCTCTTAAGATTGGCACAGATGTTAGCTCAGCGACAGTCCTCTTCATGCAAAAAGAGGGAGATTGGCAAGAGATGTTAGCTCAGGGCCAATCTTCCTCACCAAAAAAAAAAAAAAAATAGTTCCTGTTAGAATCTTGAGGGTTCCAGATGGTTATAAGATGCAGAGGTGTTTGAAAACCAAAGAAGGAAGCTCACTGGTGGGTAAGGGCAGCCTGGACGCTGTGCTGAATCATAAAAGCAGGGCACTCAATTTCAGGATTGAGGATGTAAAGTGAGATCAGAAAGTGGGTCCAACCCCTTAGATAGAGAGAATCCATGGCAAATCTATGACACCCTCCACTTCACTGAGCTACAAAATCTCTAGGCTAAGAGAGGCCATAAATGGGACTGAGGCAGCACCCCCATTTCCACTCATCTGTCAGTGGTTACCTGGTCTCTGAACTAAAACTTCCAGGGAAAGTGAGCTCATTACCTCCAGGGGCAGCTCAACCCATCTCTGGATAGTTGTGCCCCTTAGACAGTTCTCTATGTGAACTAGTAAAAGATACTACAAGCTCAAGGACTAGAGGTCAGCAAATGTGAGCTGAGTCCCTACTCTGTGCCAGGCACCCTGCTGAGAACTGGGGACGCAGAATTCAGGGTCAGTCCCAGTCTACTGTGGGGGTACCAAGGAGGACACCTAACCCAGGTGTGCTTCTACAGCCCTCTATCTTAAAACATGTGATACTGTCTCAGAAGTTGTGCTTACTGGTGAATCAAAACCCATAAGGTATGCCCAGTCTGGATAGGAAGACACCTGCTTAATTAAATTAAATTAATTTAAATTAAATTAAATTAAATTAAATGCAATACCATGAGATAATATGATATTAAACAATAATATGGATACTTAGATTAAAGTAGCTAAGAGCCTATTCACAGATTTCTATCCTTTTGTCCCTATTTTTTCTTATTCTTTCCTCAAAACTTAGCTCAAACATGACCTCTTTCAAGAAGCCCTGGCTTCCCCCCAACTTGGGTCAGTTGCCTCTTTTCTGTGTCCTGCCAGCACTGGGCTTCCTTCTGCAGGGGTTCTGATCACACAGGGGTGTGAGTTTCTATATACATGACTCATGGTAGACAACAGACTCATCTCCATGTCCCCAGGACCCAAATCAAGGCTGGACACAAGGGGGCCCTCAACTATGTTTGAGGAACTAAATCTAACCCTTCAATCTGCTTCCAGAATTCATTTCAAGCTCAAGAGGCTGGCATCATCTCCTCTGTTTGAGTCGCTAAAATGGGGGCCAGTGTGGGTGAGTTAGGGCATTAGAAAGGAAAGATAGTTTACTTACTCGGAGACCTTGCAAACCAGGAGGTCCCTCCTTGCCTTCTGGACCCGTTGGACCCTTTAGGAGGGGGAGAAAGGAGAAAAAAGAGACAATATTAAATACAGGGTTCAACACCACAGATTATACTTTGCTCTCTCACTCTCATTGGGTAGGAAAATAGCATCCCATTTCAATGGGGAAACTGGGAGGCCAGGAAGGAAAAACCATCTTATTCCCTCAAATCTACCACACTTAAAACATGTGCACCTATATGATTTAATTAAGTACATTTAACAATCAAGATGTAGGAAACATCATTCACATTTTAAAGACGAACACAGTAAGGATCAAGTGCCTTCTGCTAGTGCTTTGCATAAAGCACACACAAAAGAAGTGTCTGGAACCCAAGTGTCTTCAGCTCTAAACCCAGTGCTATTTCCCCTGTATCTTGCTAGCTCAGCAAGGACTGGCTTGGGTTATCCGACTCTTGGTCAACAGTGATATGCAAAATATGATAGTCTGGATAAATAAGTGAAATTGTCTAGGAAAGATCAGTTTCAATTAAGCATGGAACACTGATGCAGGAAGAGGTCATACTGACCTGATTCAAATCCTGCCCTTTAATCCCCACCATGGATCTGCGGCATGACCCCAGACAAGACACTTGACATCCTTGAGCCTCAGTTAGCTTATCTCTGAAGAGAAGAGAATATACCTGCCTGCTGAGTGGCTGTGATGACCACATTAATAATGGACACAAAAGCCCTGACACAGCCTCTGGACCTCCTGACAGCATCCTGATTTATACCCAAATGATGGCACCCGGAATAAGGCCCAGAATGTGAGTGGGCAAATGAAACCCTTGGCTCTAGCTGTGACTCAACTCCAACTTTCTGGGTGAATTTCAGCCAAAAACTCCCTCTCAGCACTTTAATTTCCTCAGCTTCAATAAATATTATTATCATACAAATAGCTACTCTTGCCAAATTTTGCATAATTGATGGAACTGTATTCAAACCCAACGTGTTTTCTCTTAATAACACCATGGAAATGAATACATGAATGGACAAACTACAGTAATTAAAGGTTTAAATCTCTCTTCCTCACAAAGATTATTCTGTTGAGCTCAGGGTACACAGAGAGGGAAGTCCCTGCAGAAGTGAGATTTCTTTAAGCATCAAGAAACACCTGGCATTTGATCTCCCCAGCTGGCCCTTCTTCATTATGCTCTACCAGACACTGATAAAACCACCAGAGCCAGTTTCATCTTGGGGAAAGGATGAAAGATGCATGCCTCCTAGACAACTCCAGCATTTGGATGCAGAATGCTGCACTCTGTTTCCATTTTAGAGAATGAGATACATTTTCCTCTCTCTGGGATGGCTAAACACAAACTCAAAATTTTCCATTCTCAACAGAAGTCGCTGAAGCCAGCTTCTCAATTCGATTCAATCCAATGAATATTTAGGGAACAATTGCTCTGCAGAAGGCCCTGGGCTAGGTGCTGCTGGCGATTCAAAAAAGACAGAAATGGTAATTGATATTGGTACTGACTTAATAAGGTTTTATAGAGCACTGCTTTATACATTAACTCATTTAACCTTAAGAGCACATTTATGTAGGAGTTGATGATAATGAAGATGATTTCTAAGAAAAGCATGAAGCAAAAGAGGATCAGAGAGGTTAAGTATTGTTATCAAAGAGACAAAGCTACTTGGTGGAAGAACTGGAACATGAAACCAGATATTCTGGCTTCTAACCCCAAGCATGTTCCATGGTCTTATTGCTCTTTATGAGCTCACACTGCAATCATATCCCACTTTAATGTCCCTCTTGAATATGTGTGGTGGGGCCACTCCTCTACAAGCATGTTAAGTTCCCACCATGTGATAAACGTTGTGGATTTGGAGATGGGAGAGATATTGGCCCTGGCCTTAAGAATCTTTACAGTCCTGGTCTCTCATCACTCTTCCCCTCTTTTAACAAGGTCTTTAGGTAGACTGTTGGGTTTAACTCCTTCCAAGAGAATCTCATCACCAACACTGAGTATTGCACTAAATCCCATTCTATCAAGAGCATCTAGCCTGTTGGACATCTTCAGAACCCTGGACAGCTCCACCGGACTGTAAGGTTGAGGGTTGTACACAATGGTCCGCAGGAATAACACATGCAGGGAATTCTCATTAATCATCTAGACAATAAGTGTTTACTCACACTTATTTCTTTTTATTCATTATTCCTTCATTAAACTATGACATCAGTCCATGTGTTTTCATCCCTTAATCTCCAGCCTTAATATTTTGCTTGATATAAAGTAGGTGGCTACAAATGTTTGAGGTTTCTTCCTTATCTCCTTCCTTCATTTATCACAACAAAATTTGCATAAATGAGGAGTACTACCCATTATTTCATCCTAGATCCCAGAGCGAGAGCTCAAGAAGGCTGCCTCACGATTAAGCAAGGCTAGACATTGTTAGTGTCTTATGCCTTAGTGGGAGCCATGAAGTAAAGTAATTCTCCTTTGCACATCTCAGAGGAAGTATCGTTGCACTGTGCACTCAGGGGTGAAAAGCGCATGGGCTTGACAGTCAGACGGGTCTGGGCTCAAAGTTCAGATTTGCTTCTTAATAGTTCTGTGACTTTGTGTAATACACTCAATATCTCTGTACACGTCTTAATCAGTAAAGGAAGAAAAATAACATCTCACCCTTGCAAACTTAATATGCATATATTTGCATATAAAAATATACTATAGTATAGACATTAGTACTTATCAATTATGGATCTGAAATATATATGCATACAGAACCAAATATTGAGAGCATCCTGCATTACCTGCGTTATCTACTTAAATCTCGCAACAGTTATAATAACGGTGGAGAGCTCTAGAAACTGAGCCTTAGAGAAGTTAAACAAGACTGTTATAGTGGCAGAAGATAGCTTTTCTGACCCAAACTCTCTGATATGAAATTGTTCTAATTATACTGGAATTAAGCATCTTCTAATTTTCTTCTAGTTTTACCCCAGCAAAAAACATACAATTTATCCTAATGAGGAATAGTTCCTGATGGCTTAACATAAATCTGATTTATGGACGTTCCAAAATAAGAGTTGCCTTATTTCCTTCAATAAAGTACAATAACTTAAAAGATGCAACACCATGTTTCCAGGAGGAACATGGTTAAATCACTGACCCATGGGATTTACTGTAGTCTTATTGTTAGCCTTAATATCTGAACTCACATCACAAAATGATCACAGAGTGCCTTCAAATCGCCTCTTCAAAAATGGTTATTTACACATCATTAAATTCTTAACAGAGGGAGAAACCAGAGGTTGAAGTGTTCCGAGCCACTGCAAAGTCAGTATCAATCAAAACTAAGGGAAAAGAAAACCTGCACTGGAAATGACTTGATAGGCACTGAAGTGTCCAATATATTCCGTTTTATCTGAAAGGAAACTGAACCACCAGACTGAGCACCAGAAATCCCCATAATGGCCCGCTTGGGACTGGGGGCTGTGACGGCAGGCTGCCTGGGCTTCAGTTCCAGTTCCACACTCAGTAACTGCATTATCTGTGGCCAATAATTACCCTCTTCAAGGCTCAGTCTCCTCCTGTGCAGGATGGTGTCAACCCCACCACCTATCACTCAGGGTGATGGGATGAGTTTCTGAGATAACGCAGTGCCCAGTAACAAGAATGGCTATTATTTTCCAGACCTGGAGGTGTTCAAAGTAGACCCTGGGCTGGGGAGGGATGACTTACTGGAGCTCCTGGGGGCCCAGGTGGACCCTGGTGACCTCGTGGTCCTGGAGCTCCCTGGCAACACAAAGCAAACACACATTAGCCATGACTCCCCCTTGCATATGTCTGGGGCCCCCACCACCCGTGACCCTTTGCTGACTCAGAGTTTACTTCCAGAGTTCCCAACAGGGGCCTAGATATACTGGGGTGAGGTGGGCATTTGTACTGCTGGCAGAAAGTCAACTTGACACATCTCTGAAAGGCTCCATCTGAGCTTAAGAAGCAGTTTCAACCCCATGGCTGGGGGATTTCCATTTCTGCTACCCTCTAAAGCCCCACTATGGGAGGACCCACATTTCCCTTACCTGCTCACCCTTCAGGCCTTCTCTCTGCACCTGAAAGATAAATCAGGTGTCAGCAAGGGTGGCGGCATTTTCTCAATAGTCAACCTCTCTTGGTTCCCTTAAGCGTATTCACAGAGCATGCCATAATGCAGCAATTTCTGACGTTTCTCTGATTTTATCATTTTTAGTTTGAAAGCCTTGTATCCAGCTTGTGTCATCAGAAAAGTTCTACCTCATTGTTAGAGGCAAGGACTCTTCCAACTACCCAACTGTATCAGTGCATGAGTCCATGATTCCAGCTACTGATGACTGTACCACTTACCACAGAGCCTGGTACACCAGGAGGTCCTGCAGGCCCCACATCACCCTGCACAGAAATGACAAACATTTCAGCAGAGGGTACTTTCTGCCACCTTCTTCTGCTGTTCCCCATCCCTTTGAGGTCTTTGCTTCCTCATGCAAGTCCATGGGACCACTTCCTCCTCTGTGTTCCCTCACACGTTGTCATTGTGCCTGGTCTTTCTCCCTTCTTGTGATAGCCTCCAATTTTCTGCATCTAATTCTTACCTCTGCATCAAGATCATAGGAACCTTGTTTCCTCTCTTGGCACATCCAGCCCAGTACCTACATTTAGTTGATGGTTTCACAACCATTTTCTGCTCGAGAGCAGCCCTTGGCCCACTATTCAGTGAGCATCTGCTTGTACCAGGCACTGTGTTAGGCACAGCAAGAGCGGCAATTATACCTTATGGCTCATCTCTTGTACCAAATCCATGGTGCAGCACGTGGTCAGTGTTCAATAAATATGTATCAAGTAAATAACTAACACAAATGCTGTGATGATCTCCATCGATTTTCAACACGTCATGGTATACAGAAGACTTGTTCTGTGTCTCCTTCTTCATTACCTCCAGTTCACCTGGGTCGTGATGGCTGCAGCTGGATCAGATTTCCTAGGGTGTGAGCTACATCTTGGCGCTGCATAGGACACATCTGTTTACTGGGGCAATAGAAAAATCTTCACTGCTATTCCTCTAGTGTCCTATAGCTAAAACGAGGACACTACTTGTAGCCAATGTCCGCACATATGGCTTGAGGACATAGCTTTTCTTTTTCCCTATAGGCTAGGTCAGAGAGCACGGGAAGCATTCAAAAACTACTCTTGAATAAGTTGGCAAAAAATGAATGAGTCGCTGAATAAATATGAAAGTATCTATTAGGTTCTGAGTAAGAATGAATGACTCAAGGCACATCTGTCATCCTCCACTGCATCTGAGGTTCTATTATATGGACATGACGAGTTTCCTCTGACAGCAAAACTGATATAATCACAACTCCACCATCCCCTCTGCTGCCCAAGAATTGAAAAACTCACTTCCGTTTACGTAACTTCAAGTGTTTTTCTAAAATCTCAATTAATAATGTTTCTTCAATAGACAATTTTTTTAAAGCGGCTTTAGCTGCACAGCAAAATTGAGTGGAAGGTATAGAGTTATAATAATAAGTGCTAATTTTCAGGGCTGGCCTGGTGGTGTGGCAATTAAGTTCACATACTCTGCTTCAGCGGCCCAGGGTTCATGGATTCATATCCCAGGTGTGGACACACACACAACTCATCTAGCCATATTGTGGCAGCGTCCCACATACAAAATAGAGGAAGATTGTGGCACAGATGTTAGCTGAGGGCCAATCTTCCTCACACACACAAAAAAGTGTCAATTTTCTTTACTTTGTTTCTCACATATAATAATCAAGTCCTACCCCAAAAACATCTTTCCATTCTAGTTTTTTCTCTCATGGCACTATCACATACACACACACACTCACACATGCATTTTTTACCATTCTATAACAGACACTTCCATGACACATACACATGACCATCTCCATGCACTCAGAACCCAGCCCAGGTATCTCTTCTCCATTTCTCCATGGGGATTCTCCAACTTCCCTAAGCAGAATTATTTTTCCCTATACTCAATCTTATTAGTATTTTGGTAATATATGATTGTTAGAAGACATTGTGAACTATACTGTAGTTTTTTTGTGTGGCTATCTTAAATATATATAAATATATTTATATACAAATTTATCTATAAATGAGAGAGAGAATGAGAGAGAGAGTTACATGTGGCTGAATGAGGAATATTTTGAAGTTCATAACTGGTCTTTCTTTTTTTATTTACACTATGCTTCACTATCACATTTACTTTTATTGTTTTTGTTGTATTTATCACCATTATTATTTTTACATCACAAAAAGTGAATTTTCAATGATAGTTGTGAAATTGGTTAATCAATGAATTTTCTCATTTTCACAGGTAATTTTACAGAATATGAGATATGTCTGACATATTAAATCATTATTCTGGAAAACTAAGATCCTATAGTTTATACATAATAATTGTATACATATAATTAATAGATACTGGAGACTTTCTAGCTGCCAGGCCTTGTTCTAAGGATATGACATGGATTAAATCTTTTCCCCTCCAGTACTATCTTTCCAATCTTAGAGATGAGAACACTGAGGCACAGAGATGTTTAGTCATTTGTTCAAGGTCAAAAAGCTAGAAAGTAACGGAACCAACAGTCTGTCCTAGAATCGTTTTCTTTCCACTCTGTGGATGATGCATTTTTGCAATGATCAACTTTAGCCACTGTGGTAGTCAGCCTCCAAGATGGTCTTCAGTGGCCCTGCCTCCTGGTATTCAACCCTGGTATAGGGACCTTTCACACTGTACCAGTGTTAGTCTCTGTGACTAAGAGCATCCAGCAGAAGCGATGGTGTGTGGCTTCCAAGATAAAGTCATAAAAATGACTGTGGCTTCCATTTTGGGCTGCCCCCACCGCCTGACCCCAGATCACTCACTACTCACTCTAGGGTAAGCCATTTCCACTTTTGTGAGCAGCACTATGGACTGGCCCATGCAGTAAGGAAGTAAAGCTCTGGCCAACATGACACCAAGGAACCAAGGCATGCCAAAGATCACCTGAGTGAACTTGGAAGTGCATTCTTCGGATAAGATACCCATACCCTGGCTACAGCTTCACTATAACCTCATGAAAGACCTTGAGCCAGAACAACTCAGCCAGGCTGTCCCTAGATTCCTGGCCCTCAGAAACTAGATGAGACCACTTGATTGTTGTTTTACACTTCTAAGGTTCAGGATCATTTGTTACACAGCAATAAATAGCTGATACAACCATGAAGTCAATCCAGTAAATCTCTTAACATGGTGCAGCTCCTGACTTTGCGGCCTGTGGTATGTCACTGTATGGGCAGGCAGATCTACAGGTCTCTGTCTGTAGCCACTGTGGGGTCTTGAACAAGACACTCTAGTTTTCTGGGTTCTATTCTCTCATCTGTAAAGTGAGGGGCTTTAGAAAGACCAGCTCTATGGTTCAGATACTTTCTCAAGTTGTAAAACATCTAAGATTTGTCTCAATGATGCTCTCTCACAATGAGCTGAGAGGCATCTTATCACCCGAGCATCACTGATTTCTTGATTATTCCAAGGAATGCTCCAAATCGTACCATCGCCCTTGACCTTGTCTTCCCACTTCTGCTGCATTCATCATAATGAGCAAGGATAACTCAGCTATTTCCCAAACAGGAGGGTCCAAAAAACATCCATAAATGAAGGGGAAGGTTGCAGTTTATAATAAACACACACACACACACACACACACACACAGGCAGTAGCAGGAAAGAGTTGTCACCTAGATCCAAACTTCAGAGATCCTTCCCTCTTAGTAACTTGGAATAAATACTTATTTTAGGAAATTGCATCCCCTGTCAAGGAACTGCAAGAATATATTAAAATCCTGACACCGGGAAAATATAACAATGTAAATCTCAACTCTAAAAATACTCGGAAGGAGAGAGAATAATTAACTCAGCTAGAGTCGAAGCCCCAGTGAGCAGTTTGGGAAGACATCAACGTTCTCCAGCCGCCATGCCTAAGCCGAGGTTTTGTCAGCCTGTAGTTCTATTTATTTATTTATAACATACACCCTGGATGCTTCTATAAAGAGTGAGAATAGCATTTCCCTTGTCCTTTCTTTCTGGCGTATGCTGGGAACTGGTGTGCGGCAGGCAGGGACCCTCAGTGAGCTCTGCAGTGAGGATATGAGAAGTCGCACTCCCCCTGGTTCATCTGCATTCCTCCTGCACCCCTTGGCTCTCCCCGGCTATTCTCCAACCCCACGTCTGATGCCTTTCCTAAGGATCTGCCGAAGAATCTAGAAGAAAATCATTCTCTTGCACTCAAACGCAGGGCTATACCTCATCACCCCTCCTGCTACAATGCAGAATATATCACCCCATCTTAGTCTCCCTCTGGACCCTGAGCGCTCAGGAAGGGTATTATCTTCACACACATTTCCATTGCACTTCACAATTTGCAAAGAATTTTTACATGCAGTTCTTTCAATTGAGATACAGAAATTCTGAGCAGCAAATTTATGGACTTAAGCCTTGTGGAGAAAATGTTCTAAAACAGATGACCAATATGATGAGATACAAACTTTAATTTGTTTATGAAAGACCTAGTACATTTTTAGGATTATTATTCTGACTTAAAAAAAAACAGTTTTTAAGTGTTGCAGAGGAGAAAGAAGGAGAAAAGGAGGATAGGGAAAGGATTTTTTAAAGTTTCTTTTGGTATTTATTTATAGCCTGTCTTAGTCCAAAAAGCAATTTAAGCAGCATAATATTTTAATATGTCTGGACATTATATAATAGGAGGCTTTCTTGGTTTTTAAATGGATTTTTATTCCTAAAAGTATAAAAAAAATTAAATACAATAACCAGCAATTTCTTGCTAGCTGAGTTCCTGACACACAACTCACCACCTTTGTCTTCACTTTATTTCTAGAACTCTAGCCTCCCCCCGTCCACCCCACCGCACACCTTGGGCCCTTATTTGTTGAGGTGGGCAGCTCACACACCTGTTTGTGCAGAGCCCAGAACCATTTCTCACCCCAGGCTGGCTTACCTTCTCTCCCTGGGGCCCCGCTGCACCGGGAGGGCCAGGTCTTCCCTGGAGCAGAGAAAGATAAGGTGGACTGTCAGTGGCAGTGAGTGCAGAAGGAAGAGGTCAAGGGCACTGCAGCTCCAAAGCTGTAATCTGCCTTTTCCCCAGGAGGCACAGGTCCCCTTAGACCAGACTTTCTGGACTGTGCTTACTGCTAGAAAGTTGTTCCTCAACTAACCTAAATGCCACATCTCCACGTGGTCCCCTTTGGACTCACGGTGGCACTGCAGTGTGGAAAATGCATTCTGGGCAAGCCAAGGACTGCTTCCTCAGGGACATGAGGGACACCTCAGACAGAATCTGGGCAAGATGGGAGAAGCAACCAACTGAGATCTACCTTGGGCCCAGGGCACCTGGAGGGCCAAGGTGGTAATGTCCTATGGAATCTGTAGGAGGTGCTAGGGACTGGAGAAGTCTCCAGGGCCAAGGGAAGAGGGACGGGGCAGCGTGGACTCTTGACCAGGATAAGTCAATGTGGCAGGAAACACCAAGGTCCCAGAGGGCTGGTGTAGGAGATGCTGAGGACTAGCCTTCCTCCTCTTCGGTATCCCCCTGGGGATGTCTTCCAAGAGTGGCCCTGTGGACAACCTAGGCATTTAAAGCTCACACTGGTGTGGAAAGTGAGGAGGGGCTCAGGAGCCACCCCACACTGGGGTTCTTCTGTGATGCCCTCATAGAAGTGAGGAGGAATCTGGAAGCCAGTTGGACAATCAGTGGTCATGTCCATTGACGAGTGTTTTTGTAGGCATTCTTCCTAAAGGTATACTTAAGAGATACACTCAAAGATGTGTATGCAAGCACTCTTACCTCCTTTTTACTAGAAATAGCAAAGACCAGACAGAACCTGAATGTCCCCAACAGGAGAAGACCCTCCTTGATGCTCACTGTTCCTCTGCTTCTTAAACCCTCATCTGCTGCCTTCACACCACTGGTACTTTATCCATTTGCTGGTTTATTGTTTCACTGCCACTCTCCAGTGGGAAGGTGCCTTTCCTTTCTCAGCCATCACCAGGTGGGTATTTCCAGTGATAAGAGCCAGGCCTGCCTCAGAGGCAGCCACAGTGAAGATTTTCAAGCAAAAAAACAAATAAATTATGGCACATCCACACCATAGAATACTAAGTGATCATTTGAGTCATGCCCTCAGTGAATATTTAAGAAAATGGCTACATGTTTATGACACAATGTTAAGGGCAGGAGAGTGAGATATAAAAAAGTACGATCCCAATTTGTTAAATGACAATAAATACAAGTCAAGATATTATTTTGGGTTAATGGGATTGACTACAAATTTAATTTCTATTAACATAATATATTGAAATTAATAATTTATAATAATGAATTTAAAAATTGAATGTAATTAATTTACATGTTTAATAATTTTATCTGTAAGTTAATATTAATGCATTAACTGACTGATATATTGATGTGTTAATTTATATTACACAAGTATTTTCCTAATTGTCTTCAATGCAGATGTATGATTTTAGATTTTATTTAGTTTTAATGATGTAAATATTTAAATTTAGTTACTTTTTAGATAATATGCTCACATGGCTTAAAATTTAAGTGCATAAAAATTTCCCTCTTGTTCCATCTTCCAGTCACCAAGCATCCTGTTCTGGGAGTAACCAAGAAAGCAAGTTGCTACTTTCTTGATGGTCCTTCCAAAGATAGCCCACGTCTGTATAAGTAATAGATGTGTTTTTTTCCACATCATTCTACACTTTCCACATCATTCTACATTTTCCACTTAAGAGTATATCTTACATACCATCCATACCAATACATTAGGAGTTTCTTAATTAATTTCCATGGTTTCACATTATTGCCCTGGACCAATGCACCTGGTTTATTCAACTCATTCCATATTGAAGAGCATTTGGGTTGTCTGTAGTCTTTTACTCCCGCAGACAAGATTGCAGTGAATACATCACCTTGAACACGTGCACATCTTCATGGTCTTTACAACACAAGTTGTATTACTGAGGTTGGACTGGATTTAAAGTGGTGTCTTCTCTGGGATTCCTCCCCCCTGGTGTTGGAGGAGCCCATATGTGACCATAAGCAGGGGGCTGGTCACTAAGCCTCCTGAAGCCTCCAGCTGAGCAGGACGGAGGCCAGTGCACCCAGGTCCTACAGAGCTTTACATCAGTCCCCAGCCATCTCTGTCCTCCCAGCCCAACAGCGCCAACGCCCACCTACCTGCTCTCCTGTCTCTCCCTGCTTCCCGGGGAATCCATCCAGACCTCGCTCCCCCTGGCAAAGGAAGGAAAGTGAAAAAATGGGCAAGTGATCACTAGGCAGCAGCCCAATGGACTTCCTCATGGTCAATATCATAAAAAGGAAAGGCAAGCAAAGGCTCTTAGTGTTCACTTGTGCTCAGCTCCTCTCTCCACCAGGCACCTTTGGACACAGGAGAGTGAAACAACACACAGAACAGTCTAGAGTTTACGTGTATTGGGGATTAAGAAGCATAGGTCCAAGGTCAGAGAAACTGGATTCATATCTCGTTTTTCATTTACAAAATCTGCAACGAAGAAAAGGCCACCTCATCTCAAGGGTCTTCATGGGGGTCAAATAAAGTAGTGGGTACAGGTAGTTTGTAATGCAGTTTATGAAACTGTGGGCACGTGTAATTCATCATTCGTTCATCCAGTAACTGTATGAACACCCACTATGTTCCCACTGCTTGGAATAGATAGAAGAGTTAACTGTTGGCTGATGGTAGGCCATGATCCATGGAGCCACCCAACGTCCACCTATCTGCTTATGTTCAGACGGAGCTGGGTTTGAATCTCTCATTAGCTGTGGAATCTTGGGCAAGTCACTTCACCTCTCTGAAACTGTTTCTGTTGATTATGTTTCATGGGGATGATAATCCCCTCCTCTAAAGACACCTATGACTAAGGAGTGAGATAACCTACTTAAGACACCTGCTCATGGAAGGTAGTGAATGAGCGCCAGTGCTCTCCTCCCAGCCATGCACTGGTTCTCCTGAGCCAAAGCCATACATGCCGCGTGTTCCCCTCATGAGTCAACTCCTTGTGTCTAGTGTTCCCCGTTGGTGTCCTTTTCACAGCTGAGCCCTAAGAACTAAGTAGATGGAGAAAGGTGACTCCAAAAGGTAGGTTCAGGGCCAGCCCATGGCCAAGTGGTTAAGTTCGCTTGATCCGCATCAGCCGCCCAGGGTTTTGCTGGTTCGGGTCCTGGGTGCGGACATGGCACTGCTTATCAAGCCATGCTGAGGCGGTGTCCCACATAGCACAACTGGAAGGACCTACAACCAGAATACACAGCTATGTATTGGGGGCTTTGAGAAGAAGAAGGAAAAAAACACAAAGAAGATTGGCAACAGATGTCAACTCAGGGCAAATCTTTAAAAAAAATGAGAAAGACAAAAGGTGGGCTCATGCTAACATTAATAGTCTATTACCTGGCATTCCAGCAGCCATGGCTTCCTTCTTTGAGTACCTCGAGCAGAGTAACTGCTTTCTTGTTTCCCCATGCTGTGCTTGCTGTTCCCTCAGCAACCCTTCAGGGCTCACTTACATGTTACCTCCTTGGCCTTTTAATCTAAATTAGATGCCCTCTTCCTCTCCAGCATTTGTCTGGATTTGTCTCAGATTTGTCTCCTTCACAGCTTTTAATTCAATTTGCATTTATTACCCATGTCACTATCCTTCTCTCACATGAGGACATGAGGTGTGTTCACCCTTTCATTATCGTGTCTCCAGTGTCCAGCCCAGAGACTCACGGTGCGGGTCCCAGGTGACATTTACTGAGTGACCAGAAGAATACACGTGAAAATTATTTTGAACTCTCCTTCTATTTCTCTATAACTTCACTTCTTAAGCTGTTATTTCTTTCTTTCTTTTTCTTAAGGTTGCTGCCTCTCTTCCAGGATGTTGTTTTTCTTGGAACGATTGAAGATTCTTGGTTTTCTGCTCTTTTGTGCTGTGCTTGTCTTGAGTTGCCTGCCTATGGATGTTGATTCTGTTTACTGCAGCCCACTGCTGGTGATTGCAGGGTGAGGGGATATCCTGACAGGTGGGACGCATCAGTAGTTTTTCTTCTCAGTGTGGATGCTCCCAACCTTCTGGGGATTGCTGACTGCTGGGGGAATGGTTCTCTCAATCTGGAGGCAAATACTGATGCTCCCCACCAGCCAGTTCAAGCAGAGGTCAGGGGAGGAGCTGCCCTACTCAGCTGTTCCAAGTGCAGGGCCCAATTAATCAGTGCCCTCTGCCCCAGGATCCCCCGCTCCCCACATCCACTGCTTTGAACTTGGGGATTCCTCCAGCACTTCTCCCAATTCTGAATTTTGGTTTATAGTTTCCTCTCATCTTGCAATTATGTTAACTTCATCATATATATTTTGTATCCTTCAGAAATTATTTAAAAAATTCTAGAACAATGATGTACACATTTCTATTTTTAAGCGCTATTACATATTAATCCTTTAAAAAAAGGCCTTTTCATTATATGAGTTTTGGGGTGAACAGAGACGAGAGCTGTGTGTATTTTCTCTCTCTGCTAATCAATTCCACTTCTGCTACAGCATCTTCTCTTCCTCAAATGCTGTGAGGTTGGCAGGCTTGAGGGCCAACAACAGACGAGGAAACTGAGGCCAGATGTAAAGCCACTTAATCGCAGTGGGGTGTTCTTGCACCAGCACCAGAACCTGGATCTCTTGACTCTCAATCCTCTATTTCTATCTCCCCACAGCATCTGAGCAGAGGCCCCTGGAGGAGCAGGTTCATCTCTTCCATTGATTCCCAAAGTGGTTGAGCTGGTAAGGTCTTCGAACCCGTGAATCCAACAGCCTCACTTATAGGTAAGGAAACTCACAACCTCAGCGGGTGTATCTTGTCCAGAGTCACGTGGAAACTTGATGGAGCCAGGACTAAAGTCAAGGCCTCCTGACTTGCAGCCAGAGCTCTCTTCCTTGTAGTAGGCCAGCCTACTAAATGTCACCCTGGAATGTGGCACTTCCACGGGGCTCAGCAAAGGAAAAGATACTATTTCACAATGAAATAAGGAAGCATAAGGCTCTGCGTATTGCCTAAGTCCCCGTTTCTTACTTCCTTGCACTTGCAAACCAAGATCAATGGAGCCCGGGGCCAAGATTTCTCCTAGCTGCAACTCAGGACAGGTGCAGGGTGCAGGGTGAGGGCTTGGCTGGACATGGAATCAGCACCCAGAGACTGGGGCCAGGAGGGACACAGCTGGAGTGCCGGCAGATTTGTGTTTTCATTAGCAGGGGATGCGAGGAAGAGAATGAACAGGAAAGGGAGGATGAGGGAGAGAGATGCTGAGGGAGAGCAGAGACAGAGAGAGAGATGCAGACAGGGATTAAGACAGATGATAGAGGCAGCAGTCCACACAGCAGGGACTCTAACAGAAATGCCTACAGAAGCCCAGCTGGGACACGAGGTGGGTGAAAGCAACAGGGAAGAACTGGGTCAGAGGCCAAACTAGAGACAGCATGTCCCACCTAAAGTCTTGACCCTTGGTTTCATTTTGCTGTGTTGGTCTTGTTGGGTTTCCTGACAATGACAGAGCACAGGGTTTGCACAGAGACCACCAGCTTGGTTCCTGGCATGGACTGTTGGCAGCCGGGGCTCTCTGGGGTGCAGAGGTGCAGGGAGCCATGGTCAACCTCACCACCCAGACTCAAACCCTGGCTCTCCCACTCTTAAGCTGTGTGATCTTGTACCAATTACTTAGCATCTCTGCGACTCAGTTTCCCCATCTATAAATAGGGATGCTATTTACCTTGTAAGGCTGCTGTCAGGCTTAGGTGAGATAATATATGTAAAATGCTTAGAACAGTGCCTGGAAGGCATACATTAAAAGGTGGTTATGCAAAACAAAGAGTGACTATGGAACAAGGAAAGGAAAGACAAAGAAATCAGTCGAAAGGGGCCAGCAAGGGAGGAATGTGGTGGGATAGGAAGGGGTGTGAGCTTGGGGAAAGGAAAGAACAGAGGAGAGCGATGAGCTAGGAGTCAGAGACCTGAGTTCTAATCCTGACTCCACCCATGCTGGCTGCCCCTGGGAGAGTCTATTCCTCTCTGAGATTCAATTTCCTCACTCGGTTGAAATCATGGAAAACAAGAAAAGAAAAAAGGTGGTTGTATTGCAAAAACTCTAAGACCTCTTCTGATTTTCACATTCCTTAATGGATAGGGAAGGGTGTGTATATGCAAATTAAGGGAGAATCAATCCTTGTCCCAAGCATCTTCCCATCTTCCGGGTACCAGATGCTAAAACAGGCACTATCTCGTTTAAAATTCACATAAACCCTGTGACAGATCGTTCCCATTTTTAGTAAAGGAAACCAAGTCTCAGAGATTAAGTGCATCATCCTGGTTCACAAAGCTCAAAAGAGGAAGATCCGGTATTTGCTGACTCAATCCTGACAGCCAGCCTGCGAAGCCCTGGGCGATCTCCCTCCATGCCAAGTCCGCTTGCTGCAGTTCTGAATCTCCGACAGCAGAGGGAGTGCGCACCCCACTTAAAGTGAGAAAATGTCCTTAGCTCCTTTCCTCTGGGCTGCAGGAGTCTTGACAATTCTGAAATCTTGGCGTTGGTCCGCACATTTAATGTGGGAGGGCGCATGTGGTATGTTTCTTCCACTGGGCACTTGCTCCGTAAAGGTTTGAATCATAAAGTTTCACCAAATTACGAGTGAATGTACCTCTGTGCACCAAGCACACAGCGGATATTCAACAAATACTCACCACCGTAAGATCTGGCGGGCAACTCTGCCAACCCTTCTAGAACAATGCAAATTGAGGGTTATGACTTACAGATGACTCATCATAAGGCAGAGTTGGGGGCGGTTGTCTGCAGGGTGGAGCATGGTTTCAGTCCCTTCAAACCTCCCACTCCCTTTTGTTGAACATTTAGGGAGAACCTACCAGGTGCCAAATCCTGTTTTTGTTGTCACAACTAATTTAACTGGATCCTCAGAGCCACTTCCTGAGACAGGTAGTGTTACCCCTAAGTGTTAGATAAGGACACAGGGGTCAGGAAGGTTAAGTTTGTGTAGGGTCCCAGGGCTCGTAGAGGCAGAGCCAGGGTGAGAATCTGGTTCTCTGGACTCCAAAGCCGGTGCTCTTATTAGGGCCGCTGTGCCCTGGGCTTCCCTATTCCCAAGCCAGGGTGGGACCTCTGGAAGATCCTCCCTGGGGCCTCAGGGGCTTGACTGTTACATCCACCCAAGGTGGTCCTGGGGCCATAGTTATCTGGAC